TTAAATAAATAAAAATGGGGTAAAAATGAGTGGTGGAAAAAGGTGTACCCCAAGCATTGCTTTTTTGGAAAACACATTTCTTATACTCCGTATATAAAGTACATTTTTCAAATTTAATTTAGGTGGAGTGGCACCTGTAGAAGATAAGCTAGGAGAGATTAGTTTGAGATGATTTGGTCATGTGAAAAGGCATGCACCTTAGGCTCCAGTGCAGAGATGCTAGAGACTTTCGATAGTTGGTGGGTTTGTAGTAGGGATAGACCTAAGAAGAATCGAAATGAGGTGGTTAGGCAGGACTTAGGACACCTAGCTAGCTCTTATCGAGGATATGACTTCAGACAAGGGAAGCCTAAAGATATACGGAGTAGCTAGGATTAGCTAGGCTAGTTGAGTTGTGGTTTAGTCCAGGGTGCTAGTTTTGTTCGTGTTGTTGTGTATTGTGTTAATTTGACGTGTTTCTTTTTTAGTTGTCTATATACCTAATGCCTTATCATTTTTTTCTCACCCTTAGTGTACTCTTTCCTCTTTTCGTGCTACTTGATTTTTGCGCTGCTTGAGTTGAGGAAACAGTCTCTCTACTTCCGAGTAGGGGCAATGTCTACGTACACACACCCTCCCCAGACCCTACTGTTGTGGGATTCACCTGGGTTATTGTTGTTGTTGTTGAGTTGAGGGTCTCTCGAAAACAACCTCGATCTATACTTTAGGTAGGGGTAAGGTCTGCATACACACCCTCCCCAGACCCTGTTTTTGTGGGATTTTACTGGATTGTTGTTGTTGTTGAAGTCTGTAGTTTTATTTCAATCACAAGTATACTTTGTACAATTTCTGTTGTGAAATATTATATCATTATCTATATAAATTTTACGGTAAAAAAATTTAATCAATCTTTATAACTCGGAATAAAAGTAATTGTGAGATGGAAAAATCATTAATGGACTTGACACAATTTTGACTATATATATTTTGCAAAAGTGGCAAACGCGGCCTTAAAGAAAAGATGAGTCCGCATCTTCGGGACCACCTTAATTAGATCCAGTCGAATGGCCACTGAGAGAAGATAAATTAGATTTTGATCGTAAATTGGTGGGAGATCAGAGTAGAAGCTGGTACTTGCAGAGATCTTATGCTTAGCATAATTGTCTTTCCGCGCAGTTGTCGGAAACCAAATCCGAATTTACGTCTTCACACTTCAAACTTTTGCTAACTGTGTAACGCCTACCGACAACACCGCCTTGTGACGGATTGTGTGGCGGTGTGCGCGAATTTCTACACGAGTGTTTGCATGCGATGTGAACTGATGAGAAGTCATTATAGGTGAAAGATGATTATTGGCTTTCTTTTTTGATTAAATATAGTCCAAGTCAAAAACACAGCTAATATTTTCGAGGTACTCCATCTCCATCATATTCTCCTTTACTCTCACCTTCCTACGGACTCACTCCTCCCTCTCATATCATATTCACATATAACCCCACTCCCTTTTTGAAGATCCTGTTCCTTTTTGTTGGTGCAATTTGCCACTAAAAAAAAGTTAGACCAAGAAAAATTAACTTTCAAATTTCTCAAAAAATTGCTACATTTTGATTTTTTTTGGTCAAATTGTGTTATTCTTTGAGTACGAAATATAGAATAAAATATACTTGTATTTAGTTATAATGTAAATTTAGTAAAATTAAATTTATTTTAGAGTATCGTTTTGAAGTATTAAATTTTTATAATATTTTATTATTTAAAGTTATTTTCAATTTGTAGTCAAAGGGTGTTATACTTTGACCAAAAAACTTGAACCGGATTCACGTGCTCCACTGATGAGGCATTCTTCAATGACCTGATCTCGAGCAGAGCATGAGCACAGTGTCGTAGTGTCGCATTGATTGTTGATACAATTTGATAGTAATTGTTCTTATTGAATAATAAAATTTTAAATAGTATGTTTAGAAACTACATGGAGAATCCTAAATAAACTAGGAGGAGAAATATAGTAATACAATGAATACACAAACTAAATACTCCGTATATTAAGATTATATTCCTATTATCCACATGCAAGTTGATCGACAATTTCGAGGGGCAACTTGGAGCATAAGTACTCGAATGGAGTGGCCGGAAGAGGTTCCTTCAAAATACTTGCGGGCTGTAAAATAACGAAGCCGAATGGCTAGTGCATCTATAATATAACGAAGTCGCATGGCCTCTGCCACCCACGCGATCATGGCGCGGTATTCGACATTAGTAGAAGACTAGCTACGAGCTGAGACACATGTATTTTATTTGTGCACAAGGATATAAGGTTTGGCCTAAGCGCATGATAAGATGATAATCAATAGTAGAACAACAATCACCTCTGTCGTTTGCCAGTCAGAATTAGGAGTAAACAATAATATCTATGGAATCTCCAAGGGTAATTTATAAATAGGACTAAAACATAATGACTTTTTCAATATAGGTCTATATTTTTTTATTTCCCAATGTAGGATCAATTGTCATTATCTATTAGTCATTATTCAACTAAATGTCCAACATTACTTGGATATTATTCTTCTCACTAGACATTATTAAGTCTTATATAGAGAATAAAAAAAATTTAAGTCCTACATTGAAAAATGACTTATGTTTTAGTCATATTCATTGCAAATTTCACAATCTCTGCAATGCCTTAAAAACTGACTTAGAAATTTTACGTTTTGGTGCAAATAATGAATTTATTATCCTAAAGAAATAAATTTAGGAAAACAATGTTACAATTAAAGTATGAGCAAACAATATTGCTTGATAAAAGCAACATGTGCCAACTATTCTTTTCTTGAAAAAAACATAAAATACTCCGTAACAGTTTAGAATTTAAGCTTTATTTATTGGAACTATTTGAGGGTTGAAAAAGTAAAACTAAAGTAAATATAAGTTTCAGCTCTCTCTACTATCCAAATAGTGATACAATTTACTAATAATTGATTTAATTAAATAATGGAGATCCAAAAAGTATATATAGGGATCACATACATGTATAATCTTAAATTGTGTAGGAGAAGAAATATAGTATTTTGTAATACAAAGAATAAGGAAACTAAAAATATTAAGATTATATTCCTATACATTAATTATCAAAGAAAAACACTCATTATATAACGCCAACTAGAGCCATAGTGTTTGAGATGACGTTACATAAAGACAAACATGACACTATATAATGTAAAAAACACAAAATGCAAAGAAATACATTGATTCAAGTATCGAAACTCACCCGAGAAAAATAATAGACAAAATCAGCAAAACAAACATGAAAACAATAACAATCATAATGCAATTATTCAAATTGCCACGAAACCAATTTATATTCCGATTTGTACATTATGTGTTTTATAGATCGTCACAAGCAACAATTGTCCGTGTTATATACAAATATGAGTAATTAATTTCTATATTTATCTGTGATACATTTCTATATGTACAAATTTAATGTATCTCTAACACACTTAGGCTTCGTTCCGTTCAACTTATTTTTTCTGATCAGATCTGATTTTTAGTAGTTTTGATTTGATCTGATTGAATCTGATCTAATTTAATCTGATTGGATTTGGTCTGGTCTGATCTGATTAATTATGATTGATTTAGAACTCAAATCAATAATTTGATTTGATTTTATAATAACGTTTGAAAATTGTAATGATAATTCATATTATAATATAATCAATATTTTTTATTTTATGATTTTTTAATAAAATAAAATTAGTTAATTCATATATTAGAATAATCATTCATATTATAGTGTAATAATATTTTTATTTTATGATTTTTTTTGTGAAATTAGAATATTAATTTAATATTTTAATAATTACTTCATATATACATTAGAATAAATATTTAATTTATATATACATTAAAAAGTAATAAAATTTAGATAATCATAATGTAGAAGAGATTGTATTTTTATTTTTATTAAAATATCTCATCTTTATAAAAGATTGTATTTTTAGCACTAAATAGCATTTCTAACACATGTGGTGCTAGTATTATTATGCACTAGTTTTGGCGTGTTTGGATAGTAGGGCCAAATAGCGTTGATACCCCTTGTGGTTTGCAAAATAAGCATCAATATCTCTTCTGTTTTCAAAACTCATTTCTAAAGTTTCTTCTGTTTCAAAATGTTGCACCCGTGCCCCCTCTGATCATTTTCTGACCATTTTTCCGATGAAGAAGGGAGCATTGGTGCATATTTTTTAAATCATAGGGGGTACCAGTGCTGGTTTTTATTTCTCGCATATTTTTTGTTTTTTCCCTTTTTTCCTTTTCTGTTTCATTTATTAATAAAGGTTTTTTTAAAATTATTTTTATAATGTTCTTAAAATTTAAAGTTATTTTTGTTTGAAAAAATAACATATAATGCATATGTACTTCTCAAATTAACAATTTTGTTTTTTCTAAAAAAAGTAATTTTTTTTAAGAACTTCAAAAAATGAGGAATAAAATAAGAAACAAATTAATACAAAAATAAAAATGAATATCCTTTTTGGACATCTTAATTCTATGGACTTTTTTAGGCGTGTCCAATTTTTTTTGTATAAGACTTTTTTTGCGTATTTTATTTTTTTTTCATTTCGTTTTTTACATATTTTTTTTTATTCTTTTTTTTGAACTTTCCAAAAAATTATTCTAAGTAACAAAGAGTGAAAATGTTTAATTTGAGATAGATGTAATATATGTTAATTTTTTTATTTTTATTTTCATTTCAAACACAAAGATTTTGAAAATTTTTGAAACATTATAAAAAATTCAAAATATATTTAAAAAATCTAGGAAAAAGAAAAAGAGATAGAAAATATTTTAAAAAAATGGAAGAATAATAAACGAAAATAAGAAATGAGCACGAATGGCCCCTATGGTTTAAAAATTATGCGCCAATGATCAGAAGGGGGTGTGGGTGCAATGTTTTGAAACGAGGGGAAATTTAGAAATAAGTTTTCAAAGGTAGATAGCTATTTGGCCTCTACAGTAGTACGAGTCGGGAGAAAATAGGACGGGAAAGTACTCGGACATATATATATATACCCCACAATTAGCAACACTCTCTGACAATCCCTCCGACATATTATTGTACCTGAAGCGAGCACAGAAATCCTTCAACAAAGACACCCCGTCAAGAAAAATGGGCGGAACCGGCCGAGGGAAAGCTGCGGCGGCGATGACGACGACGACTGACGAAAGCCACGGGAAGATCAGGACATGCAGAGGACGGCGACGGAGCGAGGCGCTGAAGCACCCGACGTACGTCGGAGTTAGAATGCGGGCGTGGGGGAAATGGGTGTCGGAGATCCGAGAGCCCAAGAAGAAGTCCCGGATCTGGCTGGGCACTTTCGCCAGCGCCGAGATGGCCGCCAGGGCCCACGACGTCGCCGCCCTCTCCGTCAAGGGCGCATCCGCCGTCCTCAACTTCCCCCAGCTCGCCGGGTCCTTGCCCCGCCCCGCCACGCGCTCCCCGCGCGATGTCCAGGCCGCCGCCGTCAGGGCCGCCCTCATGGACCACCTCGACGCGGCCGCCGACGCGTGCCCCTCCTCCGAGGAGTTAGTGTTGGGGGAGATCGTCGAGTTGCCTAAGCTGCCCGACCCGGGGTTCGAGTCGACTCTGGCGGCCGAGTTCATGTTCGTCGACTCGTTTGACTACTTTCACCCGTGGTGGCAGAGCTCGGGAAACGATGTATATTGCGACGGCTCCGGCGGGGCTGAAGCTATTCAACCATCGGAGTTCGACGGTTGGAAATTACAGTTTTAGTAAATTTTGAGAGTATTAAAGCAACTATATACGAAGAGTTTGGCGTGGACATAAAAATAATTGTATTTTAAAAATATTATTTGCTGGTCTTTCTCTTATTAATATTTTTAACAAATAATCTTTTTTTATATCTTCGGTCACGTTCGTGTTAATTTAAGAGCTAAAAATATAAATTAGCAATAATCATATATCTTTCTTGTCATGAATCATAATCCATAATCATAATCATTATTGTTGAGTTATTTATCTAACGACATCAGAATACGTTACTTAACATAAGATTGATGTCAAATTATACTATTAGCATCCAAATTAACACTAACATGACAAAAAATTCAAAAAAGGAACCACTTATGGAAATATACTAACATAAAATGGACTACAAGAATAATACTCCCTCCGTTCCAAAAAAATTTACACGTTTTTACTAAAGTTGAAATTAAGGGAGGGATAATTTTGTATTGACTTTACAGAAATACCCTTGATGTGATGGGTAAAAGTAGGATGTGATGAATAGATTATTAAGAAAAAGGTATGATGTGATAGGTAGGGTTTGAAAAAGTAAGGGGTAAAAATGGTTTTTTAATAGAAATGGGTAGGAGATTGTGGGACGCAATTTTTTTGAAAGGTGTAAATCTTTTTGGGACGGAGGGAGTATTTGATAAGAAAACCAAAAATAAACTCGAACTTGCTCTGATACAAATATACAATGCTAAAATTTCAGTGGGCCTATAACAACGAGCACAATATTGGGAAAAATTAAGCATTTACATATAAACTTGATATTTACTTTATAACCCAAAAGGTTAAGCTAATAAGTAAAGTTTCGTCATTCTATATACACTAATGATATTTCACTACTTTTTTTGTAGAAACTCGAACATGGAGCCACTTTTAATATTTAAAAATTCTAAGCAAATCATTAAAATCTATAAAGTTCTTACTTCCAATGCATTCAAATAAATATGTTCGATACAATCACAAGAACGAGCTTTTAATTGGGTTGATTCCTTTATATGGTATCTGTCATCCATATTAAAAAAGTCAAGTTTCACGTACAAGCTTTAAAGTTGTCGCGCCTGTATATGAGAAAACGTGTTAGAATATAAAAACATTTTTTAAGTCTATAACTACAAGTCTTAACATTTGATTGAATTGATTTAGGGGCTGTTTGGCAACTTCTGAATAGGTAAGTGCTGAACCAGTAAGAGGTCTGAACCATTAAGTGCTGAACCAGTAAGAGGTCTGAACCATTAAGAGCTAGTATATTGTTTAACTATTCAGAGGCAAATATCTGATCAGTTCAGATAAGAGGTTTTAACCATTCAAACTCTGTATAATACTTAACCTTTCAGAGGCAAATCTCTTAACCATTCAGACATCTGAACCATTAAGAGGCTGAAATAAACAGTCTGAACCATTAAGTGCTGAACCATTCAGACATCTGAATCATTAAGAGGCTGAAACACCCTTATTAATAGAATTGGTTAGAGTGATTTGGGGTACAATTCGTTTGCTGGCCAAGTTGGGGATTTCGGGAGAGCTTTTCTTTTCTTTTTTTTTAGAGTTTATTTTGGGAAAATTATTATGGAACAATTTCTAAATGAGCCTGCTCTAAATAATTTTTAAATTGTCAAAATGTCTCTTATACTCCGTCCTGCGCAAGAATATACTCCATCCGTCCCCAATTTGATTACAAATCGGTAATTATTTTATTTACAAATCGGTATATTAATAAGAAATAAAAATTACTCCTATTAGAAAACTATGTCAAAAGTTCTACAAAACAATAGATGACAAGAATATTTTATCTTATTGAATATTTAATGAAATCGTGTAAATAAACAAAAATTATCAAGGAGAAAAAAAAAATTATAATAAAAATGGAGCCGGAAAGAGTATTTGGTTTGTACCATCTTTACTCACGTGCCCTACCTTCATGACTCATGAGTAATGCTAGAGTCATAAACATCTTGGACACAAATTACACAAACATACTACGTTGTATTTGTCTATTATCCCAAGTGAATAAAATAATTTTGAATAATTTAAAAATAAAAATTTAAATACACAAATAGCTATAATGAGGTCCCTTTCACATTTGGACTATTAATGAGGTCCAAGATTGGTCGCACATAAATAGATATACCATGCGGAGATCCAACGACATCACGATGAATCCTTTATAAAAGTGTTCATAGGTTCAAATTCCAGTAGACACAATAACTCTAAAATTCCTAATAATTTATCTTCACAATGTCTAATATGATTGTTAACAAATTAAAAGATGTACTCCCTCCATTCCAATAAACCTTCACCCCCTTTTGACTTTTAACCAAAACAAGAAAAATATATCTATGGACTTTTCAATTTTGTCCCTAATGTGAAGGATAAAAGTAAGATGTGATAGTTCAATTAATAGTGAAAAATATGATATAATAAGTAGAGTATGGAAAAGTAGAGTTAAAAGTGATTTTTAATAGAAAATGAAAGTGTTTTGAGAAAATGGAAAAAACGAAACAGGAAGAATTTATTGAAACTGAAAGAGTACGTGGTTAGAATATATTTAAACGGGATAAATTTGTTCGTAGCCACATATTCATTATGAAAATAGAAAACAAAGTGTAAAGAAAAATCTAAAGTATTTGTGCAAGTGTTGATGTAGACGAGTATGAAGTATGTTGGGTAGACGACTATTATTAAACCACCATAGGGCCAACCTTTCAGCAAAAAACATCATATCCACGATGCGGAGACCTGCAAACATCATTTGGTCTACCGAAGCCATCTTTTCGGATGTACAAAGTAGACGATGATGAGCTAAGATCTTGAGTCTGGATTGAGGTTCGAGGCATTACGCAATCCTGGTATATTTGAAAAAATCATCAATGAAAGCCTCTGAGTTGATTCGAATTTTATAGATAGGAAAAGAGGATAAATTTGAAAGTTTAATGGCGAACCACAAGAAACTCAAATGGCACACACTCAGAGAAATTCTCTACCATCCAGATATCAGCGCATGTTGAATCAATTGTTTCTAGTCATTGCCATCATTACCTGAACTGAATCCATCCTTCCAAGTCCTTCTGAATAAATGACAAATCATCCCTTCTAAGACTTTCTGAGGATGTACAACTTTGCGAGAAGCACAATAATACCAATGCCACCGATACTGAAGATATGTCTCCTAGTTACCTGCCATGCATACCATAAATATTCTTCATGTCTACTGAAAAACTTATTTTGACAGACAATTTTGAAGAAGCACTACGTTGGAATGGTGCAACCCCCTGAAAGGATGAAAATTTAAAGAAGAAGCACTTATGTATCCAATCTGACATTCTCAGAATTTAGGTGAAAATGACTGGAGCATTCTCAAAGATTTGGGGGGGGGGGGGGGGGGGNAGAAGACGCACAAGCAATGAAATGAATATGCCCATCGCAATTCTTATCTTTTTTTTCTCTGTCTCTCTTCACTCTCTTGCTTTTGTTTCTTACCGATTTTACCACTAATGAGCACAACTAAGCTTCTAACACATTAAAAATTATTGAGATGAGATTCTTATACATTTATACATATGAAAGCAAGTTTAACTGAAACCATATCAGGGAAATTCTTTAGCTAGTCACTCACATTCTTGTCTACATTTTGAGACATTCTTTGCAGCACCTGCTCATCTCTCCCGATGGCAGCAGTCTGCAAATATCAAGCTCATATAATTTCAGACAAATGCTCCACTAAAAACTTATCTAATGGTACATTTCTTATGCTAGAGTGTCAATCATATACCTGCAACTATCAAGGTTAATAATTTCAAACAAATGTACTATAAAGAATATATCGAATGAAAAAAAATAAGGAAGAATTTATTTAATGGTACATGTCTTATGCTAGTGTCAATCATATACCTGCGAACGTCATATAATTTCAGACCAGATGCTCTATTAAGCAATTATCTGATGAAAAAACCAAACAAACACAGAATTTATCTAATGGTACGTGTCTTATGCTAAAGTGTCAATCGTATACCTATAGAAATTGTATTTGTGTCTCGTACCACGGTAGTTATTTCCAAAGAAAAAGTTACCCAAGGAAAATATTTTCCATGATGATATGCAAATTGTAATATATTGACATTTGAAATGTGTACTTATAAAGATTGAGGAATTGAGCCTTTGATTTCTATTTTTAAAACTTATCGAGCATTGTAAATGTGTACTTATATTTGAAATGTGTACTTATTAGAATGACATTATATTTTCTGGCTTTCTGCTAAATAATCATGATGGGATGTCTGATATATATGTCCTACATACAGGATTCTTGATTTCTTCTAGATTTTGGGATGATTGCACTCACAAAGTTTACATGTTTTGGTTGTTTTGTTGGTCACTTTGATCACTGATCAAGGGGGGTTGAGATGGGTCAGACACGTATTGAGGAGATCCACAAATGCTCCAATGGGGAGGTGCAAGAGGTTGGGCAGATAGAAATGTTTGCATGGCTTTGACATAAATTTTAATGCCTAAAAGTATATAAAAATAAAATTAGCATGGCCTCATCAATCATAGGGACTTATATATTTTAGGCACTACCATACAACAATTTAATACTCCATAGCTAAAAGGCAAATGCATAAACGGTGTCTACTTTGCATGGTGGCCATACCTTATGATGTACGGCAATTGCACCAAACCTTTTGACTATTGTGAGAGCAGATGGTCTGATTGTGTTCTTTTGGGTACAATCTAAAGCTAACTTGATCATATCGGCTGCTATCTGACCGTTACAACCACTCATCTTTAATTTTTCACAAATTACATCATCACCATCTTCAATTCTACCTCTCATAGTGACCACAAATATACTAGAGATGTTCTTTTGTCCACACAGAAATTGTAGAAGAATCACTCCATAGACATAAATATCAAGGCATGGCCTGGCCACTGTATTTAAAATTTCAACAAATGCAGTAAAGGAAGTAATATTAGCCATTCAACTAGGTTATCTTCAAGTAAAATCAAAAATCTTTTTTCTTTATCTAACAAGCTAATAGGAAATATATTTGAAAAATTATTTACTAATTCGTAGAAAATACCCTCTAAATTGCTACCCCAGAGAAGTATGAATAAGGTAATTTGGACCATAATACTAGATTTTGAATGTATATGAGTAAAGTAACGTTGACCCCATTGCTAGATTTTTGACTGTTTGTTTAACAAGTGAACAAAATAGTCTTTAGTTTCAATTGCTACTCATATATAAACATGCATTCATATGATATATACAAAGATTTAGTCTTCTACAGTATATTCTTCATTAGTGGAAGTCGAAAACAAGCTAAATCATTCATCTTTTTATTTTTTTCACATTGGCCTTGTTTCTCATTATGGGTATGTTTCAAAGTTTCTATAGTATATTCTAGCACATTTCTGTTATTTAATGTATTTCTTAGTTTGGTGGGTTTTCTCCCCTGCATGCACTAGTTGTTGCATCCCATTTCTTCATACCAAAAATTTGGTTGACCAAAATGTAGGGAGTTAAAACAAATGGAAATACAATCTATTGCAAAAATTAGTTTGGTCTTCAATGTGGTTTTCAATTCATTCAGCATGATGGAAATTAGACAATAAAGCTAGATGTCCCAACCTTTCGGAGAATGAATGGGAACTAAGAAGTAAGAAACTTTAATAATTTGGAATTTCTATGAAATAAAATGAGACAAGATGAGGAAGAGATGAAACTTTAAACTTTAATGATGCAAATGGACATTCACAATTAGCCGTGATACATACATACATGCATGCATGCATGCAGGGCAGTTTCAAAGACTTCCATGGAAAAAACGTGTGTGCAGGGCAGTTCCTTGGAAGAAGATGGAAGGACTTCCAGGATACAATGCCACTGCCCCTTAGTATAAGAATATGGGTATGACTGGAGCTTTGCTAGCATTTTCTTTTTTTGTCTTTAATTCTAAACCATGAGAGCTGTTAAAAAAAACAGATGGACTTCAGGTAGTCATTGACAAGTTAGAATAGACAATGCAACTGTGAGGCTGAAGCAAGTTTGGCAAACCAGCCATGGTTTTTCATCAAATTATAAGGCAACTAAGCTATTAGGAAAGAACCATTGGATAACTGATGAACCAAAAAAGAGGATGATTTCAATTATCTTAAGTTTGTTGGATAACGTATTCCTCAGATATCGTGTTTTACTTACCTTCTATACTGAGTATGTTTTTACTTGAATTTTAAGAAAAGTATGATCGTCATACTGCAAGAAAACAGTAGACACAGTTACTTGTTCTATGTCATTTGGGCATAGCGTAGATCCTGGCAAAGTCCGAAAAGATAAATAATAAAAATATCATGTCAAAGGTGCATCCTTTTAGTATCATTTTATATTCACATTTGTAAAAGTAAAGTTCACCTAGAGATACCAGAATAAGTGTGTATACAAAGTATTTTGAGTCACTACAACCAAGTGCTATTAATTATAACATTTATAAAGAAATTTTTGTATCTCAAGGGTTGAGGACAAGTCTTTGCTGACTAGGCATGTCTACCTCTGAACCAAATTACTTAATTTCACTCATGCTGGGCCCATGCATTACAAGAGCAACCCTTCTAGTTTTATCGATTTGTGTGAATAGACACAACAATAAAATGAAAACTATAAAAGGGTAAAGTATTTTGAATTAGTTTTAAGCAAAAGAAGATCTATAGAGATACCTTCAATGTTTGTTGATAGGTCCCCATTCATCATTAGTGGAAGAACAATCAGACCCATCTCAACCTAAGAACTCGGAACATCCCTAAATCTTCGGTCATATCCAATTAGGCAAATAAAGGACCGATGCAGCAACAACTTACCAGTTTTGATCTCATTATGAAAATCAGTAGTTTAGATTCAAAAGTTAGGTTTCACTCAAGGTGGTTGAAAATATGAAAAGATTTTACCTCAAAATCCATGCTTGAAATGCCTTGTATGATCTTCAATGCATATTTCCCTGAGGACAGGCCTAACAGGTTTTTGTTTCTTCTTGAAAATGAAATCTTTTTTAAAATGGACTCTAACCACCCATCAACTTCATATCGAAAGATTCAATTGTTACTTGCAACAATAACCGTTGCATTTTGCATGCAAATATCAAAAAAATAAAGATCTTTAATGATTTCTTGATCAACTTAATACATGAAACTCAAAGAATCAAGTAGAAATAGTGCGCCTCTCATTTGATATCCACATTTGCAGCTAGAGCAAAATACTAAAAATTCTTTAGAAGAACAGTTTGTAAAAACTCTACCTAAGTAGTTTAATTTGGAACCAAATACTCATCCATCTTATTCATGAGTTCAGCCATATAAAAATCAGTTAAAGAAATAAATTCACATCTTAGGTAGTAATTATTCTACGTGCACCAAATGTCCCATTTTAATAATCATCAGAAAAGATTTAAAGATTTCTGTTTGTTTTGATTAAAAAGCTTGGCCCTTTACATTTTATATCGTCATTTTGGTTTTATTATGTCTTTAAGTAACCATGCACGCAAGAGGTCATTAGTTTTATGAAGGGGAAGATACCATTTCAAAACCTTCTTTGATATTTTTTTCCATGATCATTTTTCTTAATTGATAATATGTTTGCTTGCATATCAAGACGTATTAGTTTAGTAGCTTAAAAAGAAAGGAACAATTTATTTTTTGTCCCTCTACAGACAAGGGAGGCTTTTACTATTGTTCTTAGTTGCATTTTGTTTTGATGTGATATTATCTGTAGGTTTTGTTGCATGGAGTCAAGTCTTAGTTTACAGACTGATACCAACCGCTGAATGCAGTATTCCATTCCAATTTTCAAGATTTCTAATTATCATTAAGAGTGAACACTTTCAATGTTCGAAAAGGCGTATTGCGGTTTTGAGGCGTTTTCATTTCATGGCGTAAGGCGTAAGCCTTGAGGCGTTTTGAGGCGTAAGCCTCAATTTTAAATTGAAAAACATTCACAAAATAATATAAAACCAAAGATAGAACATAATGTATAACATAAATAATCCAAAAACATGAAAAGAGTATATTGTCAAAGCAATACATCGCAAACATAACAAAGTCTAACATGGAATCAAACATAATTTTGCTCGAATAAACAATACGATACTATGCAATAATTCATCTTAAAAACAAAAAAAAATAGAACAATTAGCACATCAGTAATCAAAAAAATAAGAAAAAAAAGAGGATATTAACAGGTGGAAAGAAGACTGGAAAAACGCAGAGATAAAACGCAGAAGCCGCAGGACAAATGAACAATTACCCAAAACATAAAATGCAGCTCGCCGGAGAAGAAGGTTGCATACCTTTTCGGGGAAAGAAACGCAGACTGCAGACGGGGAAGAAGACTGCATACCTTTCGCCGGAGAAGAAGGCTGCAGACGGCGATGCTGGACGGCTGGAGACGGTTTGTAGCTCGCCAAAAGTAATCGACAAAGATTAGGAGGGTAATCGACACTAATTTTGGGTAATTTTAGGATATATACTCCAATTGGGTTAATTAATTGGAGTAATTGACAACTTAAACGGTTCAATACCCAAAATTTTAATTGGTTAATTTCCAATTTCGTAAGCCTTATTGTGTAAGCCTTATTGCGCGCACCGGCGCGTACGCCTTTCAGAGAATAGCGTAAAAAAGCCTAAAGCGTGAAAACGGGATTAGCCTTGAGGCGTTTTTTTCCGGAAAAAGTTCCGAGGCGCGCCTTGAGGCGCGTTTACGTTTCGCCTTTTCGAACATTGAACACTTTGGGCTAACACAGATTTGTACTCCGTACATTGTATGTCGATTATGTTTACTAAAATTATACAATTCAAAAGTTTAAAGATGTTTTATGGGGCACTAGTTGATCAATATTTGTAGAACCGTTGAAATGAACTTAAAATACTATTGCTAATTCAATTAGATCCCGACGTGGTGTAGGTTATTTCTAACAAGCAAACCAATATACACGCCATACAAAGAATAATAAGCTTAATGATTTTATTTAGGAACAATTTCAAAGACGTCGCTTCAAGTTATCGTTTGGAGGGAGACTCTTAAATTATCCATTATATATTTATCTATAAATATACAATTCACTTGTATAAAAACTTGAAGCATTGGAGAAGTTAATTATGAATAAAAGAGTTAAGTATCAAAAAAATCTGTTGATAGGCGTGTCGTAGCACCTGCAAATTAATTTATTATTTCCTTAACTCTTAACCCCTTTTATGAATTAATATTGATTAAAACATATAGATAGGGCGAGTAAGGGTCGATCCCACAAGGAAAGATACTTTTTAAGCTATAAAAATCAGTTTACTTGTCACTTTTATTGAATAAAAACTGACTAAAAACTAAAAGTAAAGGATAAGGATTATAGATAAAAGATACGAGATGGAACCGCAATAGCAACTCGAACTCAAAAGAACACTTAGGGAGAAAACGAACACACAAACAAACATACATTTAAACTTTATAAAAACGTAGACAATAGTAAGTAACTTAAACCATTTTAAAAATACTTATAGTTTTTAATAAAAAATAATCTGAACTAAAATGATCAACCAATTAATTATGCCTTAATTCTGAAATTAAACTGCTAATTAAACTCAGGGTTAGGCTGAAGAAGAGGTCCACCAACGGTTCTTCTCTATTCTCCCATTCATATTAGCTCATGTTAAGACCAACCCTAACTCTAAACCCTACTACCCTTAGCAACCTAAAGACCAACCCTAACTCTAAACCCTACTACCCTTAGCAACCTAAAAACCAACCCTTATGTTACTACTAAGAACAACACATTAAAATCTTTGGAAAACATCCAACAACTTTGCAGTAACAATACGGTTATTTAACAAAATCGGTTCAAGAACCTTGATTAGCAAAACCACTTAACGAGGCAGCCAAGACTAATCAAGTGACATTTAGTTTCTAGAAAAGTTCGGCTATTTAAAACACTTTGGACTTTAAAAGAATATCATTTTAAACTGGATTAGGTCGCGATCCTAATTTGGTCCAATTTAAGTAAAATTTGGTGAATAATAGTTCTCATAACACCTTTTCGAGTTTCAATTTAATAAAGTCAAATTAATTCGACAAAAACAACCAAATCTTTTTCTCAAACAATTTAGCCTAAGAGGGTTTTATAATCTCAGAGATAATAATAAATCAATAAATGAAAACTTGAACAATTCAACATCAACACACATAATTCAACACTTATAATATAATTTTAAACATTTAACACGAAAGTAAGATTTGAGAATAAAATATATAATTTTTGAAATCAAATTCATAATTTGGAAATTGAACAAATTGCATATCCTAGTAATATAAAAAAGTAAAATCAAATACGGTTTAAAAGGAATAAACAATAAATGCTCCCCTGGTTCTTCTTCTTTGTTGAACTGTGCACAGACCCCAGAACCGACGCAGGCTGCCGCTTTCCTTATCGCTGCTCCAGTCATCGTCGCCGGGATCAAGTCCACCATAGACGGAGTAATTATCGCCGAGCCGTGCCGCCTATTTCTTCTTTTTTTTTACGGAATACTTCTTCTTTTATCTCTTTCCAAAGATTATTAGAATGGGCCTTAGGTTGGGCCAATTTAATATTTAGGCTCAGCCCAATCTTTATTTCTTCTTTCGTTACTTTTGTTCTCCAAGATATATCTGAAAAATATGTCAAAAAAAATAATACTCCAAAATAATTGTAGAATATAAATTTACTCAAATTCATGATTTTTATCTATAAAAAGTAAACTATGGCCTAAAATGCTAAATAGAACAAAACATGCTTATTTAAGTATAAACTGCATAGAAAACATCTTAAAAGTACTAAGAAATGATGGAATAAAATATGACATTTTGTGACTTGACATCCGTTACAACACTTATTCTAGCCACCTGTGATAAATCGAAGCTCATATTTTCTTTTTTATTAAGGTTATTTTTTCTAGTTATAATATCAAACAAATAGAAAACTCGCGGTTGTGCGATAATGAAAAAATCAACTGCGCCTCCATTCTGTCAAAATATGCATCTAAGTTTAACCAACTCATCAAAATACCATATACACTTAGAGCAATATGGGTCGCCAGAGGATCCCTGCCAGCATAGCACAAATTCATATTAAAATTTTTACTAATAAAAAAGAAATTAACATTTCAATGGAAGTTAAAAATTAAGTTACATAATCAATAATTGAGCTACTTACAAAGCATTTATATATAACATATACTTCAGGTCCAAAAAACTTTGCATCAAGAAATGACGGAAATGTCTCCCCCTCATCATCACTACATTGTGAAAAACATAGAATTGCAAGAATTATTTTAAATTTCTTGCAATTTAAAAGAAAGCTTGAAACTATTTTTGATAATAAAGAAAACTTACTACTCTCATCGTAACAACATTGAGAAAAATATAGAATTGCAAGAGTTATATGCAACCTCTAGCAATTTAGAAAATACTTGAAACTACTTTTGAGAAGAAGGAAAACTTACTACATGTTTAACAAATATGCATTGTCGCCCAACATTTCAAAGCTCTGAAAGAGTTTTCCCCAGCTTCCCAAAGCTGACTATAAAAGCCAAAGAAATTTATGTGACTACTGTCATTCTAGCTAGATACCTAAAACTCTTTTTAAAAAAGGACCAACTTACATACAAGTTCGCTTTCATCATCAATATCCTTCAATTGCCACAATTGTTGTTTTGGTTGCAAGCGTCTAAGTCCACGAATGCATACTTTTTCAACATAATGAATCAGATCTTCTGTTGTTGCCATTACAGAACTCGGAGGAATGCCCTGTAGGTTTTTTAGTATGCACGATGTTGTTCGAAATTCTTCAATTTCATATATCTTTTTTCCTTCAAATGATACATTTGGCACTAGATCTGATGAAAATAAACACCACTAATTAAATTAGATATACAAACATGCACACACATTAGATATACCAAGTATGTTACTAAAACCAAAGAGAAGAATCGCATAATAAAATACGGTGAAAATTTCACCAAGAAACTGTGTTTGAGATACTAAAAAAACAAACCCTATATGCAAAAATTGAAAAACATTTTTGTCAATCAAAGATAGAGTACATAAATTTGTTATTTCTTCGTGAGGGGGCTATTAATTATCCAAAAAAAGATCAACCCCATGAGTGAGTGGCCTACTCCAACCACCTTGAAGGGTCTGCGAGGGTTCTTAGGCCTCACTAGATGTTATAGAAAGTATGTCTTCGGTTATTGGGTCATTTGTAAACCATTTTACTTAAAGAGAATGCTTTTAAATAGAGTATGAAACATTAGAATGCTTATATGGGTAAAGTCTTAGCTATGACCAATGACTGCAAGGATCCCAATACTAGCCTCGTTAATAACTTTGAGATACGGGCTGTGTTGTTACAAAAGGGGAACCACTTGCTTATATGGGTAAAGTCTTAGCACCTTTTTTTATTTGAAGTCTTATGTGAGAAAATCCATATCGATCTTGTAGATATATAGGTCTCAAAACTTCGTATTTTCTTTGTCCAAAATATAAATTCAGTTACCATATTAGAGTAAACATTATATATTTTCTTTGTACTGAATTTAGTTTCTTAATTATCTTACTATATATGTATATAATTGAATTATTTTTTTAAATAAAGAATCTATTTAGAGTTACACTTTATTACTCCCTCCGTCCGGAATTAAACTTCCCATTTGGATTTTTTTCCATTTTTTTGAAGTGTTGACTTTAGGATGGAAAAGACCAAAATACCCTTCCCCCAATTGTCCCCACCCACTACCCTGCCTTTTGCTCTCACCATTTCCGTCGATACCACTGCTGGGGCAGATCCAAAACCACTGTCGACCCCCCGCAATCGCCACAGCCCCCACAACCACTTCAGCCCCTAGATCTTCCCAGACCTTACAGATTTAGAAGACAAACAAATAGGAGAAAAAGGGGAATAAGAAGAGGAAAAAAAGATGAATTGATTTAGAGAAAGAAAAGAGTGATGAGAAAGAATTGGGGGAGAAGAAAAAGAACAAGAAGAAGAAGAAAGAGGAACAGATCTGGACGGAAAAAGGAGGACGAGAAAGAAGGGAGGGGAGAGGGAGGAGGAGGAGAAGAAGAAGGAATAGATCTGGAGAAAAAACAGGGTAAAAAGAAATGGGGAAGAGGAGGAAGAAGAAGAAGAATGAATGGATCTCCAGGAGGAACAATTGTGGAGAGAAGAAAAGAAGAAGAAGAAAAAAAAAGAGAAGAGAAAGGAAAGAGAGGAGAGAGGCAATGAAGGGAGGAGAGAGAAAAGGGGAGGGGAGAGATATGGTGAGTATTTGTAAGTGGGGGTATTTTGGGTAGTTAGTGTATAAAAAATTGAAATAGGAAGATTATTTCTGAATGGAGAAAAAGGAGAAATGAGAAGATTATTTCCGGATGGAGGGATTAAAACTTTTAATGTACAATATCTTTTCTTTGAGCGAGATTGCCTTAAGTTCACAATGTGGTCTCCATATGATTTACTCTTTTGCTTGTTTGGGAACAAAATAAAAACAAATTAGCAACCGAATCAGAAATTCATAATGTCAAATATGCTACTTTTATACTCACTAATGTGCATGCTCAAAGTGAGTAGAAAATTAAAAATAAATGTGTGAAATCTATAATTGTATGTGTAACTTGTAGAAGTAGATGTGAATAATGTATATATAATATCACTGTACATTCAAATTGACAATACTATATTCACCCCAAAAATATTGTTTTAATTTGAACGTGTAAAATATCATCTTTTAAAAAAAATTTATTTACAAATGGGTATAGATCAAAGTAGGACAAAAACATTAAAAATATATTAAAATAGGACTTTCATGTTTTTATTACCAAAATAGGACTCAAAATGCATTTACATTATCAAACATGATCATGTACATTACCAAAAACTATAGTAATGTGCACATGTACAGTGTCATATTACCACAATGTAAAGTCCTATTTCGAGAAAAAAAACTTGAAACTTCTATTTTGGTACTTTTCTCTATATTTTAGTCTTATTTAAGGTGATTTCTACCTGTCAAAATTAATTAGATCTAGATTTAGAAAAATAATCAAAATTACACCTAGACTCCACAAAAAACTTCGCAATAATCATTTATACGACAGCATGTGTGCTTAGTTTGAGTAACCAATCAAACAAAATTAAATAAAAAAATGGGCCGACCAATTAAATAGACTCACTGCCGTCCTTTATATGTCTTTCTTCCAATTTGGATGTGCAATTGGAAGACCTAAGGCGACTGGGGCGCGGCAAACTGCCGGCGATTCCCTAAGATGGCTTCAGACAATTGAATCGGCGGCGGCGTGCTGCTCTTCCGTTGCCCGATCTGCGTTTCTTCAGATCCGATCGAAGTTCTCCGGTCTCAGGCTGTGCGCACGGTCTTCACACCGGCGACGATCTCTTTGTGCGCGGCGGTTGACTGCTCACCGCAGCTCTAAGTCTGCTGCGCTCGGATATCTGCGGCTTAGTCCTTCAGCAGCGGTTCAGATTTGCTTCTCCTGCCTGCCGCGCCCACACACGGTTCTCTTCACAAGAACCCTTGTTCTCTATCCTGCTACCAAAATGGAAGACAAAATTTACTGTCAGACATACTCCTTCGAGACTTACCAAAGGTGTGCCAATTTACTGTCAGACATACTCCTTATTTGTTTGCCCATAAAAGTATTTCGTGTAGAAAGGAATAGTTGAGTCAATTGTTTCCATGGAGATGAGAATAAAACTCAGAATGATTCATATTTGTACATTGCAGAGTTGGGATTGGCCTGATGTTACCGGACATTTTATGGATGGTAAGGTCGCCTTGCAATGTGCTGAGAGTTGTTCTCCTGAGGCATACGGCCAATTGCCTCGATTCCAGTCAGGTGATTTCTCTTTGTTGCACTTGTTTGAAAGCTTTAATTCTGTTAACAAAAATGGATAGGACTTGAGAGATCAGATCAGCAGTTATATATGAAAGCATGTTAGAAATTCATTTGGTGAGTGGTACTTTACTTTTGAACATTTTTCCTATCCTAGCATACAGTTTACTTTTGAACCCAATTATATTGAATCTGCATTAAAACTAAACATACTTTTTTCACTATTCGTGTTCAAAGAGTGTTACTATTTCACCAAAAAATACAAAGTAGGAAAGGTTTTGTGGGAAAGAGGAAAAATAGATGTTAAGAATTTCTCAGTGATATTCCATTGCCTTTTTAAGTAATGTTTTCTTGATTTAGTGCAATCTGCTTACAAGATGTTTATATAGCATTTTCCCTTATCCCTCTTGATACCAAGAAAAGAACCTTGCTTCCTATTGAGTTGAGAGTCTTTCGGAAATAGCCGTCATACCTTGGTAGGAGTAGGTCTGGCTAGACTTTACATACTACTGCCGCATTGTCATTCAGCATTAGGTACTTTGCACAATCTACACCCTTCCCGATCTTATTCATTTTGTGAGTCATAAGCATAGTTATGAATGGGGAGTAGCGAGGGGCAGGTAATAGGACCTTAAAGTCAAGTATATGTATGTATGTATGTATGTATGTATGTATGTATGTATGTATGTATGTATGTATGTATGTATGTATGTATGTATGTATGTATGTATGTATGTATGTATGTATGTATGTATGTATGTATGTATGTATGTATGTATGTAT